ATTTTCCTTATAGTTAATTCGTAAATCATTTCGTTTATATAGAATACAGGATAGATTTTTACATGATGGATCTTGTACAAGGAATGTATATGATGCTCTATATCAGCCAAGTGCAAATTCCTTCCTCAATCAAAGAAATGAATTTATTTGTTAATGAGTTAGAAACTCTTTTAAAAGTGCGGGAAATTTTTTGTAACTCATTTGATGCTTTATATAGTAAACTCTCCACCACTACCAAAAGCAATTTTCAAACGCAGTACCCTTGGTACTCCAAAGTTTAATCAACTAGTTAGTAAGATCCGAAATTGTCATAGGGACTGTCCAATATGGTATGGACGGTTTGATTCCAAAAGATGTTGAAAGGCTTTGTCACAACAAATCTGATGATTATTTTCGCTCCAAAATAAATATAAAATCTTATGTTGCAAAAGTATATTTTCATTCCGAAATAAATATAAAAATTCATATTATCTAGCAAAATCATATTAGTTGTTGATTATAAAAATGATGTGCAGTTAATCTCAAAATTTTTTGCCCGTCAAGAACGAATTCTTCGCGCATGTGTAATTTTTATTTATTTATATACAGTTAGAGATGGGCAAATCGCGGTTTTTCAAAAAATCCCGCGCGGGATTACAATACATAAGTTTTAGTAACATGAATTTCATGTAATTTCACTGGATATATAGTACCTAGAAATGGGAAAATTGCGGTTTCTCCAAAAATCCCGCGCGGGACTCATTAAACTACAAAAATTTAAACCCTAATTTCACTTAATGGGCGGCCACGATTTCTTTACTAAAAAGCATGCAAGGTTCAGATCATTCGAATAGACTTAAAAAATAAAGAATTTTTAATAGTCTCGTCAAAACAACAATTCAAAATATTATTTTAGCAGTTATAATGTAATATTGTGCATAAGAATAATGTAATAGATAGAAAATTAGTTATAGATCATTGCAGTCTAAGAGAATGAAATCAAGTAATAAAAAGTTACTTTTTTTTTGCAATAAAAAAGTATAGAACGCCTTTTTATATTACTTCGGCATTCATTGATTTGTAACAAAGATTACAGTAATAGTAAAAGTTACAAGTATACCTACTGCAGTACTGTATATAGAGATGGGCACGCGCGGGATTTTTTTGGATCCCGCGCGAGATTTTTAATATGATCCCGAAATAAGATTCTCTGGCCGGCATTACCATAATATCTGGCTAGCATTATATAATATCTGACCTGCATTAACATATTTAGCTAATTCCTAATTAAAATTTATTTATTTATTTGCACACCACTTCACACACATGTTTATTTATATATACGATAAGAATTTACCTTCTTTGCCGTTGGTATCTTACAAAAATTGGATCAGATGAAACCTTTAACCAAGGACGTGCTTAATGAAATTACTGCTATTAAAATTTACAAAAAATATGTGGAAATTCACTATTTTGATTTACCAACGGCAACAACAAAAAATTTAGGCAAAATTACTCAAAATTTTAGTAAAGAAATCGTGGCCGCCCATTAAGTGAAATTAGGGTTTAAATTTTTATAGTTTAATGAGTCCGCGCGGGATTTTTGGAGAAACCGCAATTTTCCCATTTCTAGGTACTATATATCCAGTGAAATTACATGAAATTCATGTTACTAAAACTTATGTATTGTAATCCCGCGCGGGATTTTTTGAAAAACCGCGATTTGCCCATCTCTAACTTTATATAAATAAAAAAAAATTACACATGCGAAGAATTCGTTCTTAACGGGCAAAAAATTTTGAGATTAACTGCACATCATTTTTACTTTCCAGTATAATCAACAACTAATATGCTTTTGCTAGATAATATGAATTTTTATATTTATTTCGGAATGAAAATATACTTTTGCAAAATAACATGAGATTTTATATTTATTTTGGAGCGAAAATAATCATCAGATTTGTGACAAAGCCTTTCAACATCTTTTGGAATCAAACCGTCCATACCATATTGGACAGTCCCTATGACAATTTCGGGTCTTACTAACTAATTGATTAAACTTTGGAGTACCAAGGGTACTGCGTTTGAAAATTACCTTTGGTAGTGGTGGAGTTGGATTACAAAGTTTACTATATAAAGCATCAAATGAGTTACAAAAAATGTCCCGTACTCTTAAAAGAGTTTCTAACTCATTAACAAATGAATTCATTTCTTTGATTGAGGAAGGAATTTGCACTTGGCTGATATAGAGCATCATATACATTCCTTTTACAAGATCCATCATGTAAAAATCTATCCTGTATTCTATATAAACGAAATGATTTACGAATTAACTATAAGGAAAAT